TGACACTATTCTCTCTGAGGTCACTATTGACCTCCTAACTGTCAAATCCAGTGTAATTTATCCTTCTTGTTTCATTTGAATATTCTGCAGTCATTGTTGTTAAGCACTTAGACTTTCTGAAAACTCTCACTTATTGGTATCCTTGACACAACTTCTGCTGCTGTATCTACCTTTAACAAGTCACTCAGCTTGTTTTGCCAGACATTCTTCTTAAATTACTGGTGTTCCCCAGGATTCCACCCTTGACTCACTTCTCTTGTTCAATATATTTCCTCTAGGGTTTTTTTTTTTTAAGATTTATTCATTTTTATACAATTGCTGGGGTACAGCCAGAGGCGTGGGAGGGTGAGAGGATTCACCAGAGACAGACCGGGGAGCAGAACAGACAGATGACTGAAATACACTGCTGAAGGGGGCAGAGGGCATGACAGGAGAGGTCTGCCTCACCACGTGGGAATCTCCCTGGCTGCGAATCAAACCAGTGCTGCAGAGGCTGCGGACAGCTTCACAGCTCTGTGCTCAACCCCCTGTGCCATCGGGAAGGCCCCATATTTCCTCCAGGGTTTAATCTGTGACTGTGGCTTCAATTATCCCCAATACCAGTGACTTCCAAATCTCTAACTCTAGCCTAGATCTTTCTCCTGGGTTCTTGCCCTATGCTTCTGACAGCCATTAGGAGCATCTACACAACATTTAATAGTGGTCTACTCTATTTGCATAAAAAGAAAGAATCACACAGTAAGATAGAAGTTATGTAGATGCATGTGAGCAAAGATTCTAAAGCATTCCCATTTAATTTCTATCTCTAGTTAAGCCCCTCCAAGTTGTCCATTGCTAAGAAGATGGAGCAAGGGCAGACTCCAACTGAAGCACTGGGAGTAAAGCCTTCAACATAATCTTAGCAACATAGTAGTGGAAGAGGGAAAAGAGAAAGCCACTTAAACCACTCATAGATGCAATTTAAAATGAAAACAAAATCATAAAAAGGGATTATAATAATATAAACATGTCTTTAACCAGTACCTCTCTCTGTGTTGGTAGAAAGTTCTCCATTAGTCAAATTGGAATGAATTCACTTATATGCCCTAGGAGAAAATCTAAGAGTGCAGTTAATCTTCCTGGTAGAGCTAAGGTCTCTAAGACAGTGAATTTCTGGTACTTTAGGTTGACAGTAGGTGTCTGAATTCCAGGTCTGGAGTTTTATGATTAGGGTATGTGTCTGGGATTTGGGTTTTCCTGAAATAGTATTCTATGACCTCATGGACTTTTGGCTGTTTTTATTCTTTGAAGTAGGCCTATCACCACAGGTACAAATACTTCCAGATCTTTGTATAAAATAGAATGGAAAAAATACAGAAATCTGAGTTCTAGGTCTAGTCACTTACTGGGAGTTCTTTATTCTAAACCCACATGCATATATTGTTGAATGGGTTTACAGCTTCACAAATCACATAACCAGTAATGCTTTGAATCCACACAAACACTTAAAATATTCTGTATGTCAATGGCATTTTAGGTGTTTGTCTCAACAGATCTGTCAGGCAAATATGTATCTATATTTTGACACATAGGGACGTGACCACTCACTTAACTGGGTAAATATCAAATGTACCAATTCTGGCAATGTATTTCATTGGTCCACGCCAGTGAGGATTCATCAGAAGCAACATTTCTTCAGGGCAAGGATGGTGACTTGACTAATTCTAATTAGGAACAAGGGACATTAGCGAAATTTTGAACAAACCCTAGATCTTGTACACTCCAATATTAACAGCTATTTTGCCCAATGCTTTATTAATGATAAGACTTCCTGTTTTATTTTCATTTCAAAATTGACTGTCCCGTGTGGCATTTGGTAATATTAGTAGCTTATCAGACATGTTGTAAGCTCTTTGTAAATATTAGCTGATGTAATTTTTACAGCTTTGTGTATTTTTACTGCATTACAATCATTGGAGGTCCACTAAGGTCAATTAACTTGCCCAAAGTCGCAGAAATATTAAATGAACTGAGATTTGAGCACATGTAATCTGAAGAGAGAGTCCATGTTTATACACAGTGTGCTACATTGTTTCTTATTAAATTATATTGCCATTAAATGGCAAATTTCTGTAATAGCAGACGAAACTTCTGGGTTCTTGTGGGAGAAAATTTGGGATGATTGGAAAACCCAGCATACAGTATAGCAGATCTAGAATGGACCTGAAACATCATCTACGGCTGACCTCAGTGTCACATCCTGAATATTGATCCCTTTTTTGATTTCCAAATTTTGGGAGATCTCAATGCCTTCTTCTCTTGTGTGTTCATACTTGCTAGGTGACCTTGTCTCGACTGGTACATTATATACATTCTATATGTCAGTGACTCCCAATTCCTGAATTGCAGATTGCTGTGTTTAAATTGCTACTAGACTGGGTCTATTTACAATAGTAAGCTATTGGTGGCACAGTGGTTGAACGCTGGGCTGTGAAGCTGCCCGCAGCCTCTGCAGTGCCGGTTCCATCCCCGGCCACTGGCAAGGGTCCCACGTGGCATGACGACAGACCTCTCCTGCTGCACCCGCTGCTCTCCTCAGGACTGTATTTGGTCAGTCTGCCTGTTCTGTTCCCTGCTCTGGCTCTGGTGAATTCTCTCACCCTCCCGCGCTTCTGACTGTACCCAGTGCTTGTATAAATAAATAAATAAATAAATCTTTAAAAAAAAAGAAGAAGATGGGGTATATATACACAATGGAATATTGCTCAGCAATCAAAAAAGATAAACTCATACCATTTGCAGCAACATGGATGGAGCTGAACAGGATCATGGTCAGTGAAATAATCCAGAAAGAAAAAGAAAAATATTGATGGTTTCACTTATGGGAGGAATATAGAGGATCCAAATAAGGGATCAGGGAAAAAAAGTTGTTATAATAAAGTGAAAATCAAAATCAATAAGCAACTATAAGCCAGAAACATTCTGCAGGGCGGGAGAAGGGAGTAGGATCAAAATGGGTGGGAGGGGCACAAGGGACTATGGTGATGGTACATGGGTCAATGGTGGTGGGAATTTCACGGGGACTATAACTGAGATGAGAAGGCATATATTGTGAAAAAAAAAGGATGATGTAAAAAATATATAAACATAAAATTATTAAAAATGAAAAAAAAAAGACAAAAATTGCTACTAGAAATCGCCTTGTGCAGTCTAGTAGGTATCTTTGATATAACACAGCCAAAATCAAACTCTTGGTTCCCTTCTCATCACTACTGCTCTCCTAGTGCTCTCCATCCCAGTCCATTATAACACCATTCATTGAGTAGCTCAGACTGCAAGCCTTGGAGTCCTCTTTGACTTCACCTCTTATATCTAACTCATCAGCATATCGTGACATCTTGGCTTTCAAACTTTAATGCTACTTCTGACTATTTCTCACCATCTTCATTAATCCTACTCTAATCAAAGCCACCATCATCTCTTGTCTGAATTTTTTTTTAAAGATTTTATTTGTTTATGCATACAAGAACTGGGGTACAGGCCGGAGGTGTGGGGGGTGAGAGGATTCACAAGAGACAGAGTAGGGAACAGAACAGGCAGACTGACTGAAATACACTGCTGAGGGGAGCAGCAGGAGAGTCAGGAGAGGTTCTGCTGTACCCTGTGGGTAGCTCCCTGGCTGGCTGGGGCTCGAACTCATGCTGCAGTGGCTGTGATAGCTTCATAGGTTGAAGTCTTAAGCCCTTGTGCCACCAGGGAGGCCCCTTTTACCTGACTGTTTTAATAGCCTCCTAAGTAATCTAGTTGCTTCTACCTTTGTCCTTCTATCACCTATTTTCTGTGCAATAACCAGAATGAGCCAGTTAAAATATTAATTGGATCATGATACTCTTCAGCTTAAAGTGTTCAGGTGACTTCCCATGTCTCTTGCGGTAAAAAACAAAGTCCTCATTAGCAAAACTCAACATAAAAATTGTCTGTGCTCTTTTATTTTTTTCTGAATGGATCACAGTCCTTTCCTTCTTGAATTCCATTCCAGTAGGGTGGTCCCTTGGTAACCAAGAGGCTGCAGGAGATTTATGTTTAACCTATAGGAGGTTTGTGTAACTTTGAAATACACCAAATTTGTTCCCATTTCAGAGTTGGTGAACTTGCTATTTTCCCAACCTAAAATGACCTTCAGCTAGATAGTTTAATGGTGTGCTTCCTCAGTTCATTCTGCTATTTGCTCAAATATCATCATCTCTGAAAGGCTTTCTATTTAATGCCAGCCCTGTTGCTGTCTCTCTTTCCCTCCTGCTGTATGTCTCTTCCCAGCACTTATCACTACTTGATGTTCTATGATGTAGTTTATTGACTTACGTCTGTTCTCCATGTTTCTTCGTGATACAGGGACTTTTCCTTCCTTTGTCACTTTAGTCTCTAGAACTTTGCATTTTCTTGACATAGAATAGATGCTCACTAATTATATGTGGAATGACTGAACACATTGCGCAATGAGGTTCTTTCTTTTAGGGAAACTGAGTTTCAGAGGGCCTCATGATTCCACATCTGGTAGAATCAGAGCTGGTATTCTGGTTACCATATTGTGTTTCAGCATCAACTCTCTCTAAATGTCCAATTCTTTTAAATAATTGTTGCAATTTGTCAAATGAAACTTACCAAGACTGTCAGAGAAGCTGAAAGCATCATGTTTTGCCAATGGTTAGCTTCACAGTTGATGAATTTCCTGGCATAGTTCAAATAATAATTTCCTAGCACATTTTAAATAACAATTTCATGACACATTTAATAGTAAAATAATAATAAAGATGGAAAGCATATCTATCTATGTCTCATCTGCAAATCATCTACAAAACTTTCTTTAGTTCAAGTTTCATATTCTCTTTCCTAAGGGAGGAAATCTGCATTTAGTATCATCAGGGGTGTTCAACAACTGTGTACGAAATATCTCAGTTCTCTGTAGTGACATATCCAATAACTTTTCAGTTTCTTGAGTTAAACACATGCTCTTTACATACCTTCCAGAATACTGAGCTCCACCTGTTAGGTGATCTCTGGATCTGGAAATCATCCTCATACTCCCAGATAGAGGTGGTACAGTCCTCATAAAACTGGTGCAGGTAGGACCGGACTCCGTAGCGCTGGTACCCACCTTCAGTTGCAGCCTGCACCTGCCTGGAGCCACAGACATTGCTGCAAGAACTCATCTTTCACAGCTGGAATGAGAAAAACGCGCGTGGATCAGCGCCATGGGCTCTGACCTCATGATCAAAAGGCATATTAAAGGTGAGAACCAAATCGAGTAATGTCAATGACAGGAAATTTTTATTTGAGCAATGCTCTTTTCTAGAGAAATTTTTAAAATCATGTCTTTCTTTTCTTTCATTTTTCAATTGAACTAATATTGGTTCATGATATTATGTAGGTTTCATGTGTGCCTCTCTATGAATCAACACCTGTGTATTACTGCATTATGTTGACCACTCAAAGTCTAATTCCATATTTTACCATATAGTCTAAAATTTATTTTTGTTTGTTTATTCATTTGTTCTGTTTCTTTAAATACCACATGTGTGTTAGAGTACATAGAGTTTCTCCTGTATTGTTTCACTAAGCATCATGCCTGTAGGTCCATCCATGTTGTTGCAAATGGCAAGATTTCATCCTTTTTTCTATAGTTGAGTAGTATTCCATTGTGTGTGTGTGTGTGTATACACATAAGTGCATCTTTTTTATCCAATCATCGGTTGATGGACACTTAGGTTGCGTCCAATTCTTGGCTACAATGACTTTGGGGGTGCATATATTCCCCTGAATTAGTTCTTTCGGTGAATACCCAGAAATGGGATATTTGGATAATATCGAATTTCTGTAATTTTTTGAGGAACCTCCTTACTGTTTTCCATAATGATTAGATCAGTTTACATTCTCATCAAAAGTGTACAAGCTTTTCCCCACATCTTCTCCAATAATTGTTGTCTCCTGTCTTTTGGAAAGTAGTCATTCTCACAGATATAAGGTGATACCTCATTTTTGATTTAAGTTGCATTTCCTTAACAGTAAGAGACAATGAACATCTTTTCATATGCGTGTTGGGTATCTGTACATCTTTGGGGAAGTGTAAAGTTGTATCTTTCTTATAAACGTCTCTTCTTTTTTAGTTAGTGCAAAAATGCTCCAAATTCATAATGACTAGAACTTGTCCTCCATAAATGAAACTAGACATAACAGCCAAACTCACTTAAATTACGCAAAAATTTAAGCATGAAACAATGAGAAATGGCAAGAAAGAAAGTGGTATTTTTCATTGTCTTGACAGGAAATCTTTAATCTTTTAGGAGCCAAGATTCTTTGGACTTATGTGTTAAAGAATGAGGCAGTCACATTCACTTATTACAGATGGAAATTGTCTTGGACTGTTCTCTCAAGATCTTGTGGATTCCCTGTGGAATCTGCACAGTGATACTCTTAGCAATTTGATAATTTGCCTTTGGATCTCATGTATCTTGCTCTTAACATTTGGATGCATTGCCAAGCTGTACAGAAGCTTTGTTAAAAAGCTGCTGAACAATGTGTGCTCTATGTTTTATTAATACAAATAGATCAGCCAATCACTCACACCTCACTGACCCCAACATCATATATTTCATTCATTATTTGTGGCTACATCTGTCCATGTGGCAAGCTAGAGGCTGAGATAGTGAATGGGTAGATCCAGTCTTTTTACTGTTCCCCGGGTGGTGTCTAGTATCAACAAAAATTATTAAATGAAATTATGTTATGGGTGGCTTGTTTGAGATTCTGCCTTCTGAAAGTGAAACTTTCATCTATATTTGACCTAATAAACTAGATTTGGACCTAGAGAGGGGTATTTGGTTATTAATCCATGGTAAAAAAAAATATAATTACTGTGGGCTAGCAGTTGTGGTGAGTCAGGGAATTCTCAGTTATTCTATTTGTTCCTTAGTTTTCTGATATCTGTAGAAGCAGTTAAATGTTAGCTGGAAATGTAAAATACTTATTTGTATTTTCCAATTATCCTCTAAATAGTTTTTCCTATGTAAATATCGTCAGTCTCAACATGACAAAGCAAGAAACATGATGGAAGAGTATTTTCCCATTTTACCAAATTTTCTCAGGGCTTACATTAGAATTCCAGTGAACAGAAGATATTTGAAATGTTTTCAGTTAATTAGCAAGAGACCAAGCAGCGATGCTTATCTATAAGGGAACACAATAATCTAAATTTCTTTTTTCAAATTTCTAACTTTCTTTTTTCTGTGTGGTCTCTTTAGTTTGGCTGGAAAAAATCATGGAACAAATAATGAAGTGAAAGTCAAGGAGAGTTAACATTTCTCTGTCCAGTAACCACAGTGGGAACCCATAAAAACACAGCATAAATGTATGCCCTTAGCCACAAATGGATTTTGGTTAAACAATGTAGTCAGATTCAGGGAAATATGATTCTGATCTTAGAAACATAACACAAATAGGTGCAAGTGATGATGAACAAAGACCATCCTTTTCAGCATTAGTCAATATTATATTTGGTGCCCACCCCTATGATTTCTTCCTGTTCAGGTATAGCTGCCATCAAGGGAAATCATCTAGAAGGAGAATGCAAGGGGAGTGGGCAAAAGGATTTTTTGTTTATGTTTTAATTTTTGAGCACTTCAAAAGAATATTTTTTTCATAAAAATATCAAGATTTTAGAATGTATGTTTCCTTATTAGAACAGCCAAATCCCAGGAGCAAATTATTTGTGAACCTAATTTTCATAGTTTCAGTGCTAGTACTAGTATGGCTTCTTCAATCCCTTTTAATTAATACTTATACAAAGAAGATGATTCATAAGAGCCTATTACTAGTGATTTGTAAGTAGAATAATGTCAAAGGCACTTTGCTTGAAATCAGTTTTCTTTGAAATTTGACATTCTAATAAAGTTTCAGTCAAGGTGAGATGAGATTAGTATTACTAATCTGCTTTGTCATTGAAGAAACTGAGGCAGAGAAAAATCATCAGCTAAAGGTTGCAGCATGAATCAGGGAACAGATGAAAGATGACAATACACTAAGCAGGACTATGGACTGAATCATATACTTGCATAATTAGAACTGACTCTTCTAAATATGTATTTTTAGGTTTCCTATAAAGCATCAAAGACTTCAACATGAAAAAAATTACAAAAATAGATATGATAGGAGAAACAAAAAAAAATCCCTCATAGCAACAGTAAGAGTTATTTTCCTTAGAAGCTGAAGCTGTTCCTTAGGATTGAGCTTGATTCAGAGCAGGACTGTGTGACATATTGTAATCATACCCTGCACAGCTTGTTTCCGGCACAGTAGGTTAAATGTTTCTGCTTTATAGGATGAGGCTCAGTAGTCCAACTTTTCTAAACACAATATGGAGAAAATCACAAAAGAGATAGAAAGTGTCATAAAACAAATGCTTTGAGCTGGAGTGATAGAAGCCTCTACTCTAAGTCAGAATAGATTTTATGATGTTAGATGCATTCCAGAAAATCCCAGTGAGTCTTGTTTTCTCTTTAGGCATGTAAAGCTTAAGAACAGGGCCTGCACTGTGCTAACCCTGTAGAACTCTCATGATAGTTCTTGATCTGCAATCAAAGAGTCATAGAAGCCCAAGCAAGCTCTCTATGGACCAGATAATATCTAATTCTTCTTAGATGTAGTTTTCCAGGACACTTTGCCCATGCGTCTCCAGAAGCAGTTGGTTATTTTTGTTGGATTAACATGCAGGTTTACCAGTTTCCTGCTTCTACGTATATCCTAATGATTTCATTGTCAGGTTATCCCAGATTCTGCTTCATTATGGTATGTATGAAGCTTCAGTTGAATGCAACATACAAATGATAAGTTAGGTATGCATTATTTGGTATTACATAGGCTGAATGGTATTATTTAATATAATACCATATGAGATATATTGCCTGAAATAGTAGTTCCTGTTGGTCTTAGAAATTTCATATCTTCTTCCAAACATGTCACTTGTTGGAATTCACGCTTAGAGGAGAATGAGTTCTTAGAAAAGCATGAATTTTAAAGCATAATGAAGGTGTTGGTGTGGTAATTTTGTACCTCCAAGATCTCTTTTTATTTTATTGTTATTTTTTTATTTTATATATATTTTTACATTGTTATGCTTTCTCATCTTGGCTATAGTCCCTATGAAATTCCTACCACCCATTCACCCGTGTACCATCTCCATAGTCCCTTGTGCTCTTTCCTCCCCTGTTTTGATCCTACTTCCTTCCTTCCCCCTGCAGAATGTCTCTGGTTTATGGTTGCTTTGATTTTGATTTTCACTTTATTATAATTACTTTTCCCCCCTCATCACTTATTTGAATTCTCTACATTCCTCCTATAAGTGAAACCATCTGGTGTTTTTTTTTTTTCCTTTCTGGCTTATTTCACTGAGCATGATCCCTTCCAGATCCATCCATTTCTGCTGTGAATGGCATGAGTTTATCTTTTTTGATTGCTGAATAATATTCCATTGTGTGTGCATACCACATGGTTGCATTTATCATAGGAGAGCAAGTACCTTTTTTACACTATGGAAGATGTTATCATTTGTAATCCACTTGGTCAACTGATACCTCCAGTATGGTAAAGAGGATGCATGAGGTCACTTTAAAGACTGAACAATTATTATGTAGTAAACTAGAGTCTGCTTAAGGAGTGAGGTTTCATGAGAATCCTGATATATTTCAATGGCTATAGTAGCAGATGCAAAAACAAATAATGTTAAATCTATGACTGTTGTTAAATGACAGGTCCTGGAGGTCTCCTTTCTTTAGAGAAATTTGTAACATCCCATGAAGTATGTGAGTGGGTCAAGGGGTGGGTGAAAATATTTCCCAGTATTGTGTTTAAACAAGTCCATATGAGTATTCATTTTATACTAGTGGAGACCCAGGCAAGGAGAAGATTATACTTTAACTCCCCTTCTGAATTCTATTTTATTGTTCTATTTTAAGCCTCTATTGCTCTATTTTAAGCCTCTATTTTAAGAGGCTTCCTATAAGCAGGCTATTAATATCATACTTGTATCTCTCTCTCTCCACTTGTCCAGATTTGTTTTTCTTTTTACAGAGAGCATTTGCTACTACTTGATACTTTATTATGTGGCTTGTTTAAGATTTTCTAGACCACATCCATGATAATCTGTAAGTGCCATGAG